TGGGTCAAGAATTGTTGCGATAGTCATCGCATTATCAATTATAGTTTCATACTCGCTAATTTTTTCGTTAATTGATGAGGCCAAAAGATATTGACTAAAGGTATCATTATCTATATAATCTTGGAGATATTCTTGGATGCTACTAAACACAAATCGAACATCTGCGATAGTCGGATAAGAAGATGCAGATAATAATTTTGTGGCTTTTTCGAGTGGCTCCATTAAGGTAATTATTTCCTAAGTTTAAAATATTTGAATTATGTTAGTTCTCTAATATATTGTTGCAGCAATATACAGAATATATATCACGGCTCTAGAGAACTGTATGATGAGAATTATAAGGAATAAAGATACAAGACAAATGCACTAGTAAAATTTAAAAATTCGCACGCCATTCAACACTATCACATGACTTCACGGACATGAATGTCCGTGAAATCATGTGAACTGCATAAATTAAAATTTTTTGGAGTGGCGACTTTACTTCAGTTGTTCAAATACTTCCAATAATTGAGGATGTATTCATATAGTTTGTATATTACCTCAATTATTGATAACTCGAGAACTTTTAAATATTAATAAATTTTACCTTAATTTTGTTCCATGTTTCTGTTGTAGGCATTAAATCTTGAATGTCATTATGGTTAACGGCTAACATTCGTAAAGCTGCTTGCATTCTAACTACCTTTTTTAGCATATAATAAGTGCTGTTCCATCTTGTTGCAACATCTAGTTCTGGCCTTAAATAATCTAGCTTTTGCACGCTACACAAATCTCTTAATTCATCGCTTAAATTTATTGATGACTTAATTTTTGACATTAATGATCGAATACCAGTAATTTCTTGCTCAATAACCTCTAATCCATGATGTGCAGCTAAATTTAGAATATGCGCGGTACATCTATAATGGCGAAAAACCTGATTATCTAATTCTCTATGTAGACTATCTGCTAAGGTTTTTCCACAAACTAACATTGCTGATGTATTATCGGTAGTAAGAGCTAATACCTTATTTATAAGATTAAATTCTACGAGAATATTATTAATTGCAGTTGCTATATTCACTCCTGTATGACGTACAGTAAAAGGGATAATATCTAACAGGAATCGATGAAATTTCCAATCTTGATCGATATAGTGAATGGTAATTCCAAGAAATGCTTGATTATTTATAGTTGACGACCACATGTCTGCTGTTAAAGAAACTTTCCCTGAAATTTTGGATAAAGTATTGGTTATTTTAGTTCTTTGCTTATTGAAATAGTTTATAACCATATCTTTGATTTGATGACGGTCAGGAATTTTATAGCGTGGATCTAAGATATTTATCAATTTAATAAATTTTTTATTTTCGACGATACGAAATGACTGCTGGTCTACAATTATCCAACTAATTAAAGCTATGTCACGTTCTTTTTTTTGCTTTTCAGGCCATGGATCTTTACGGGCAAATGTTAGTTTTGATTGAGTTTTAATTCGTGGAACTATAATATTATGTTTGCTATTTAAATGATTTTCCAAAGTCGAATTTCCAGTTTTGTCTGAAAATTCAAGTTTACATTTAAAGCAAATTGGGTTATTTGGTTTTTTACGATTAAAAAAAAAATGCTTCCATAAAGGTGATGGCTTTGTCGATAAAATTATATCTGTCTCTGATATTGAGGATGATGTGGTATTGGTTTCTAATGTAGAAGCATTTGGTTCTGACACTGATGTTGGCGAACTGGTATTTATCTCAATTGTTGAAGACAGTGGACTAGTATTTGTTTCTAATGTTGGAGTTAGTGGTTCATTATATAGGGTATAATCATCGTAACTATAATCTTCATCCTTGTAATCTTCGTAACCTTCGTAACCTTCGTAACCTTCATAACCTTCGTAACTAAAATCAGAATCTTGTTCAGAATTCATACTTAATAATATGGTATTGAGTAGTTTCGCAATTCATCTTTATAACGTATATACATATAAAACCTCCTCTCCTTTAAATGCGCTTTCAAATTCTAGACTAAACATATTCTTGACCTCTATAAATGCACACCTTATTGTTCTTTAAATGCATGTATTAAAAATTTGATCCGCATTTAAAGAAGTCTAGCTGTATATACTAGTATAAAATTAGAGTTGAAAAAGTACCGTATGCCGTGAGAATTGTTTATTGTAATAACACCTTTTTCATAGCCAATATTCCTGCTTCTTTTAAAAATCTATTTACATTATCGTTATAGAATTGTCTATGATATCAATTTACGCACAAAACTGGTTTTAATAATAATGCTAATTAGATACTTACTAAAAGTTCAAAAAAAAAAAAAATTTAGCGGGCAAGATAATTAAAATTGGTAAGATAATACGATTGACAAAAGAATAGAATATGGGTATTATGAAGTTTGCATATTTCATAGTCTGTAAATTTCTGTAGAAGTTAAAAAGGTAGAGTATTTTATCGGATATTGCTTATGTGACTTTGAGGATTCCTCTTTATAGTAAAACCTGATCGCGGGTATATTATAGAACAATCATGTTTATGACCAGCTTTTACCATAATAAGAGACCCCTCAAAGTCGCATAAGCAACATTAATCTTTTCGTCATCACTCACCTTATAGAAATAAGCTTAACCTTATTATGTATTCTCTATTGCATGAACACATGTATCGAACAATAATGTAAAACCCAAATAACAGTATGTTTGTACGTACTGTACATATAAATCGTACTTAATTCTTTGTGTTTAGCTATCGCTATTTTAACTAAATAAAGATATCTGATATCATATATAAAAATAAAAGAGCGATATGAAAGCAGGAATGATCGCTATTTTATACTAAATAAAGATATCTGATATCATATAAAATAAAAGAGCGATATGAAAGCAGGAATGATCGCTATTTTATACTAAATAAAGATATCTGATATATCATATATAAAATAAAAGAGCGATGCAAAAAAAAAAAAATTTAAGTTGTATATAAGGATGTTAAATGTTCGGTCCGAACTTAATCATGTGAGGTTGTTTAATGCAATGCGATGTGTGGCATATATGTATAACTTCACGTTTAGTATCTATTTAAATTTTCACGAGATATTAGTGAAGTCGAATTGGAGTTGACTTTAAACAACTTGACTCTAACTGACTTGAAAACCAACTAAACTGAACTGTTTAATATCCTTATATATAATATGTATAAATATTATATATATATATGCTATATATAAAACCTATTATGAACCTAAAAACCTAAGTTCCAAAATTGGAACCTGGTTTTTAAAAACCAGGTTCCAAAACTAGGTTCCTAGGTTCTGAACCTAGGAACTTTACCAACCCTAAT